TAGCGTGAATCAGTGGGAAGCACGCTCGCGCAATGATTGAGTTTGATTGCACGACTCTTACAAGCTATGTTATGATAAGCAACATAAACCGGTCTAAAAACTTATCGCAAGAGCAACATTACCGGGGGAGACTGTTTTGACTTGTGTACATCACCATTTCAAAATGTACTTGACATTAAAGGTAACTTAGTTCCTGAATGAGCCAATCAGATCTCAAATACAATTTTCATGAGGTCTTTGGGAACTAAGTTCCTGTGTCAACCAATCATATTTGGTTTGTAATATCAACTTTGTTCTTTAGGAACTAAGTTCCTCAACAAACCAATAACATGGAAGAATATATGACATGTCACTTCTAAAATTTAAAATTAGAACTATGCTAAAATGTGCTTGGAATTCCGCAGTTAACCACAGGGTGCCTAATTAGATTATTTCGTGACGTAAATGCCGATGTTGCAATTTTCTCAAAGCTTAGAGTGGTTTTTCCGAACGGAAATGAAAAATCCCAAACTAATTTTTATATCCTCGAAAACAAAACTATATAACTTATCATGAACTTTACCTGAAGCGATTATGAATTATACCGCACGGGGAAAATGATAATTGAAAATTTGCTACGAAATGCGATATTTGGATTTTGAGATATTGGTGATTTTCAAAAGCTTTCCGTGAGCTCCAGATTAAATGAAATGGTCCCGTTTTAGACTTAGACGATACCTCAATCCTTCCTATACAAATTTATAAAATTGATATGAGCTTTCTAACCTGGCTTTTGCAGTTTTGGTGAGCAAAGTTCATTTGCCTCTACTCGCGGCATTAATTTCCGCCATTTTGCGGCTATCGACGCTCGTTTCAGATTTCGTGAATTTTCTAAGATAAAGAAGTAAGTCTGGAAAAAAAAAACTTTACCGCGTTTCTACGTTCACTACAAGGCGTCTCTGACTGAAATATGAAAATGGTCATTTTTCGGTCGATGTGCCACCTCTTGCGCGGTCTTGAAATAAGGTCGCTTTTAATTTGAGCTACATTGTAAGTAACCACCTTGCAAGGCAAATTATGCCAAACTGAAATAGATTAAAGAACTTAAATTTGCAATAATTCATTCTAAGTATGCTCTTAAAATGAATGAAACTAACTTAGAACTATAGTAAATTCCTTACTGGAGCAATTTTTGTTCAAATAATATTTGAAGTTGTTTTTGCTGTTGCTGATAAGTAGGAGGGAATAGGCCAACATTATGACATAAGCATGATGTGAATCTATCTCGAGGCCCGTCATACATATAGTTAAGTTTTTAGGTGTGCCTTTGCATGGGGCAAGGAGCGTTTTCAATCACAGATCTTAAGCCAATCAAATGAGGTCAGATCAAATAGCACCAAGATTATAGGCAAGGTCAGTTTCTCTCCTAGTCCTTACTTTTTTTTGTTTTGTTTTGTTTATTAAACTCATTGCAGCAATATACAGAATAGCTGAGTTACAGAGCTAGTTACAAAACATATGATACTAAAATATAATACAATAAATCCAATAAATACTAGAAAGAATAATTGTACAAGCCATTAGGTATACTTATACGTGACAAACTCTTGCGTACGCCTGGTCCTACAAGTAGGACTCGTGGATTGGCTAATGCCAGATCTAAGATTATAATTATGCATAATTCTCGCCTTCATTCCCATCTTGCTAGCATTCGAACACAGATTTTTGGTACTGTAGAAGAATTTTCCCGCCCCCTTCCCATGCTCCGGCCTTCTCCTCAGGCCTTCGTTGCCTTTTAATACGTATTTGGCTCTTTGCCGATATTTAACCACACCAGATAGATAGATAGATAGATAGATGGATAGATAGACAGATAGATAGATAGATAGATAGATAGATAGATAGATAGATACTTCATTGGTAAATACTTCGCAGCATGAACTGAATTGCGTATTCACAGATATAAAATAAAAAATACTATGTACATGAATTCATCTTATTTATTTATTTATTTTTTTATTGTTTATTACACTTACACATGTACTTAGACTATAATTACTTTTTACACCATGTTTAAACTACATTAACTTACACTACTTACAATACATATATAACAATACAGTTACACTAGTCAAATTTAATTACAGTTGATCTATTTACCACATTATTGTTTGCATGTTAATTGTCGAGTAACTACTGAGAATTGTGTTTGCTATTTAAACTACAAGGGAATTGATTTTCCAGAAATTAATAAACTGTTAAATAAAAAAGATAGCGAAGAGGTCAAAATACAAAGTTGAAAAAAAAAAAAGACAATACAATTTTATAACGACAGAAAAAATTTCCATTTGTTCCTGAACTCCTTCTCGTTATTACAAGTGACAGCAATATATTTTTCTAGATAAATTTTGTCGCGCACAAGTGAGACGAAATCATCGAAACGGCAATTTATGGT